TACCCACTTGGGTAAATAATCCACCCTGACCAGCCAATAGCGCGGAAGTCGACGTAGAGCTCCCTCCGGTGACATGCTGCTACGTGGCTTTTGGTGGAAGGCACTTCAGCAGCCCGAGGTCTCCTGCTTGAGTGGCTGCGGTCACTGATGTGAGCTTGGCGAGGCACACGGACCAAAGAGTTGGTTCTGGCAGGGTTCAGCTCCGGTTCTGAAAGGGAGTTGTTTGTTAAACTTTCTCAACAAAAAAAAACACAAACAAACAAACAAACAAAAAAAACCCCGAACTAAACCAAACGAACAAAAAAACTGCTTATTTTCTAAGCACAGTGAGGCAACTGTTCTGTTCAAGAAGGTCTATCTCATGAAATTTCATCAAATCCTTTGGAATGGATTCCATGGATTCCAAAACGACAAACTACAGAACTGCTGAAAGGCGTGCATATTCCATTTCAACTGTATTCCACAAACTGTCCAACTTTCCCAAAGAGGATTTTCCTCTTTGTGGTCTGAAAAGCCACAGCTCAGCAGAAACATAAAGCAAAAATCACAGCATCCTACCCCACGCAAAGCTTGTTACTGACTAAACCAGGATCTAGGATTTCCTTGTAATAATTTTTATTTGAAAACAAAATTTAACAGGTCACCCTCATTTTTAATCAGTTGCCAAAAGTCTCCAGACATGAAAGAGAATCATTTTTGCCCCTCCTCCCAGTTCTACTTCTCTGCATGTATTAGGCTGTAAAATCCAGCCTTACTTGGTTTTATTGGAAGACCAGTGGGAGCGGTAAGAGACTGTTTTGTAATTTAAGGGATGAGGGCGTTGTCTGATGAAAACAGCCTTTAGTCACAATGCTAATTAGTCACTGAAGTTAAATAGGTGCTTAAACACCAAGCCAAGGACAGAGAGGCTTAAATTGCTTATCTAACAACCCCTTCTACTCTTGAAAATTGCACATAATGATGCTAACTTTAGTTGCATTACCAGCATTTTCAAAAACTTTTCCAGGTCACCAAGGAATGAAGCCTAAACTGAATCATATATTTTTTGATAAAATTATATGTATAGAAATTCCTATCATTTTAAAAGCAAAATAAATCAAGCTTTTGAAGGTAGAGATGACCCTGACAGCAATTTTATCAAAGCAAACTGGTCAGTGATAAACCTGGACAGGGATTCAAAGCTGCAAGTAAATACTGAGGTGAGGTATATTATCAGGCAGCAGAAGGTGACAGAAGATGAATAAGAATTTCATATTTTAAGAGAGCTGTTGTTCTATGAACCTACTTGTGGAAGAGGGCACAAAGCTGGAAGATCTCCGTTTGTGACTGTTTGTGAAGAGGACAAGGAGGGCGTTTCTACTCTCCTGCAGAGTTCCCTGGCTCTTAGCAAACTTCACCAGGTTGTGCTCAATTCTATTATTGAAAGCATGTGTTGTAGTTATCAAAAAACCATGGTTGAAGCTGCTGTTTCCAACCCATTTGGAAACCTGGTAATGAAAGAGAGATGAGAAAATATTATTTCAATAACCCCATCACAGCATTAAGGAATTTCCATATTCAGAAAAGGAAACAGACTATGAGAGTCTAAGAACATACTTATATTATCACAGATGTAAGGTCATAATATAGTTAAGACTGAATTGAGTTTATACATAAGCCAATAATTCAACATGTAAAAATACAAAAGACAGTATATACTCCTCCAAATTATATTTACAGGAAAATATTTTTATGATAATTTCTAGTGAATAGATTAAACTATGAGTTAAAATTAACGTTAGAATTTAGTATTTCCCAGCTCTAGCCAGAACTTTATTTTTCTTAGTAAACAAAGTTTCTTTATTTTCTCCAGATTTTTCATAGTATTATAAACTCATTTAAATGTCTCTCATATACATGGGACTTGAAGAAATTAACTTGCTATCAAGCAAATTTACTTTATCTAGTAGTTGTAATTATAAGCTAATAGATAAGGCCAAGCCATTCTCAAGCAAGGCTCACTGTGACCTAAGATATAACTCTGCCAAACAACCAAGCACTATGCTGAATCTCATTTTAAAGCTTAAACAATTAAAAACATTATCAAGGATTATATACTTAATATATTTAAAGCTGAGATCCCTTTTTCCCCTAAAACCCTGTGTGCTATTAAAAGTAATTCAGACACTGATAGTTTAAGGATATCTACTAAAAAATCCTTTAAGCTAACATTAGGAATTTTATAGCTTAAATTAAAATTAAAAATAATTCAAACATGATAAATTCCAGAAACACAATGCTAAAGCACCAAAACAACCACACTTTTGCTATGCAGTAAAGCTGTGAGGATATGAAAAACTAAAACGTATTGTTGCCCCACAGGCAACATCGTGATCTAATGTGTTTTAATCACAGTGACATTTTGGCCTCATGTCCCTTTCCCTTTGGGTCTTCCTGTCTGTGTTGCCAACAACAAGTAAACATTTCTCCTTTAATTTATGCAGCTCCACATGTACTTCTGAGTGTAGAGGGAAAATTTATCTGTTTGCTGTCACCCTAGAGCTTGGCTTGACCCAGCATAAAGGCAGCGCTGGAGCTGCCACACAGCAATTATCATAAAGGAATCTGAACTAGAAATTAAAGTGAAATTTCTCTGCTTACTGTCTGTGTGACATTGAACACTTCCCAGCCCTCTGTGTACAATGACAATAATCTTGATGCAATGAGGTGCTTTTTCTGTGGCTTACTTCCACTTTCCAAGAGTTCAAATACTTCCACCTGGAAAAGAGCAATACAGCAAAACTCGAGATGAAAATAATTGCTTTCTTTTCAAAACAAACAAACAAACAAAAACCCCAAGATTATAGTAACTTCTACAACATCACAGGTGGAAAGCTATGCTGGAGGCCCAAACTAAGCAAAAAGTTGCTTGTAGCCTGCTTAACAGAAAAGTAAGTACAGGCACATGCATCTACACTTAGATGTGTTCAGAGGAAGGATACTGAACCATACGGATTGTCTTGTTCACACCAGTAATTGTTTCCTACGATGTTACATGTATTTACCTTTAATGAGCAACCAATTTTATTACCAAGTAAAAGCTAAGCAAGCACCACAAGCACAATGAAAAGTACCCCCCTCTGCCCACCCCAGGGGATGACACAAGCATTAGTGTCACAGCGTGATGAACTGCACCAGGAAACAGATCCAAGGAGAAACCTTTTCCTTTCTTGCAAGTTAGTTTTCGTGTGGATTAGAGAACTTGGGTGGCTATTCAAATGCTTGTGCTACAAGGAATGGACACTGCAGGGCGGGAACAAGACACTGAGGGGTGGGGAAGGAAGAAGCATTGGCTTAATTGATGGCTTTTATTGTTAGTGGAATTACAGCCTAACAAATAAGAGTGTATTTAATTTCAGATCATAATGAAAACATTAAATATGCAGCAGAGCATTTATAGTTGCACATAGCCCCTAAATATTAAGAACGATCAAAAAGAAGTATATGCACATAGAAAAGTATCTTGATCATCCTTTTCTCTTTTGCACATATGGCACGATCTAAATCTCCTGCTACTCTGTGCCTCTGTCCTCAAGTTTGCAAAAAAGACTGATCCCAGCTTGTGGCACTGGAACAGGTGAACTAAACTTTAGAGTCCAGGCTAATTCCTGTTATTACAATTGTGATTATAAACACACACATACACAGATAATATAAATATACACACACGATTCTTTGATTTTTTTTTTTATAAATGTACAACACATACATATATATATACACCCATACACACTTTTCTGAGTAGTGCAAGCAGAAAACTTTGAATCTGGGTTTCAAGATATTGCAGTAGTCAGAAAAGTATAGATATACTTTCTAAAGCAAAAACACTCTGACAGTTACGCCAAGATAAAACCGTAGACTGTGAAATGACTTAGGTATCTGCAGGGAGAGCTCAGCACCAGATAGCGAGAAGGAGAGCCCATTGCCTAACCCCAAACCTGAATGCACTCCTTTGCAGGCTGGAGACAGAGAAAGGAACCGCCTTCTGCTTTGGGGACCATAAACAAGCACACAAAAGTAAAGTAAGTGTATCCAGTAAGTGTTTATACTCACCCCTTCTCTCCTTCTCACTTTCTTTCAGTATTATTATCAATAAAATTTTACTGATTATTTCCCCCCTTACCTTGCAGAAGTGTGGCGAATCCGACCTCCTAGCCAGGGCTTTCTTCTTGAGCTTGAAGACTCTAAACTCGGCTTTCAGCATCTGCTCGCCCTTCTCCATCGCGCTGATGTCGAAGTAGAAGTGATGCTGGTCTACGCGGACTGCGGAGGGAAGACGCGTTAGGCACTGGGTAAAACACCATCACGCTTTCCGCAGTAGCGGTCAGATCTGTTCGAAAGCGGGTTACAGCTGGTAACCGCAGGCACGAGGTGGAAAATAAGCCCGGCTCCCCCAGCAGACCCCTCAGAGCACGGAGGCTCTTCCCGAGCGGGAAGCGCGAAGAGGCTCCCGCGGGGCTGCCCGTCCCTGTCCCCGTCCCACCTCGGTCCTCGAAGCTGCGCACCACGTTGCCCTCGAGCAGCCCGGGCGCGCGCGTGATGCCGTTGGCGTCGGCCACCTTGTTGAAGAGGTCCACCATGAACTGCGGCGGCTTCTTGCGCGGCAGCACGTCGGGCGGCAGCTCCT